ACCTCCGCCTCCCAGGTTCAAGCTATTCTCCTGCCTAAGCCTCCCGAGTAGCTGGAACTACAGGCGCGCACCACTATTCCTAATCTTTGTATTTTTAGTAGAGACGGGGTTTCACCATGTTGGCCAGGATGGTCCTGATCTTTTGACCTCATGATTCACCCGCTTTGGCCTCTCATAGTGCTGGAATTACAGGCGTGAGCTACCGCGCCCGGCCTGCTGTGTGACTATTATTGCATGTGTACACACTTGGTTATCTTATTCCCAGGACCAACATTTCAAACTTTCACTCCTACTCGCCAGAGGAACCCTTCCTTGCGTTTTCACTCCAATGCAGGTCAGTATGGTACAATGGAAAGAGCACAGACACTATGGTTGCAATCTTAGATCCTCTATCTACCCCCAGACCTTAGGCAAGTTTCTTAACCTCAGTGAGCTTCAATTTCCTCATCTGTAAAACAGGGATAATCTCTGTCTTAGACAGACTTCAGGGTTTATAGTAACTTAAAAGCCAACCCATAGTAAATGACTCTCACCTTCAACAGATGATCTTCCTTCTTGTGATAATTAGAATTTATGGCTCCAGAACTTTAGGCTATTTTGTTCTCTGCAGTATCTTCCTAGAAGATTACCTGGTATAGAGCAGTAGCTCAACAAGTATTTAGCCAGTGAACAGATTCTCTCCACCTTTCTTATTCCCAAAATAATATCTATCTCAGTCTTTACCTTACTGGATCTACGTGTGACTTCCAGTGTTGACAACACCCTTTCTTGCTTCTCTCCTCTTTTAGTTTCAGTGACCTTCTCTCTTACTTCCTCTGTTCTCCAATTACTAAGTCTATCTTTACTGGTCCCTTCCATTTACCCCTCTCTCAAACTGTAGAGAAAACATAAGGCTTTCAAGATGAGTGAGGCTTCTGGAGTTAACCTGATGATCAAATCATAATCTCTCTGGGACTGTAATATCAGTACAGTAGGAATAATAATAATAAATAATACCAACCCTGGACAACTGTCATGAGGACTGAAGGAGATGGTCAATGTAAGACATTTAGCATAGTATCTGGCATACAGTAATGAGTAAATAAATATTATTACTAACCAAGGCTACCTTCTTCCACTCTACATATTCTTCCATAGCTTCAACTCCCCAAATTCATTAAAGACTCACAAATCCCATCTTCAGCAAAGACCGCTTTCCTGGCTGGCTTCCAGATGAATATATCCATTGCCTATCAGATATCGCCACCTGAAGACTTGCTGCACAATAAACTCAACATATTCACCCAACACATTTAAAATTGAACCCATGTATGTTTCCTTCCCACCTATAAAAACATGCTCCTCCTCTCTTTCAACCCCTCACTTAGTAAATGCATCACCACTGATTCATACTCCATGTCAGAAAGAATCATCCTAGATCACAACATACTCTCACCTTCAGGCCAACAGTCTTGAGTCTAAGTCCTCAGACCTGTCACTGGTCCAAGCCATACTCATTATGTGCCTGTACTATTACACTAAGTTTTTCCTTTAACTGGTCTCGTTATGGACAACAGTCTCACTCCCCTCCTGTTTATTGTGCATGATTACTAGATTGCTTCTTCTGAAATAAAAATCCAATATCATTTTCCAGGTTGAAATCCTGCAGCAACTCTTTATCTCCTGAAAAACAGTCTAACCCCCTTTGCCCAACATGGAATGTCCACCATCTGGCCAACCAGTTCTACCAGCCACTTCTCCGCCACTCCCCATCCACAGTGTATCTAGCCATCCCAGAACCTAACAAGCTCTCGTGTTCCTGCCACATTTCATGTGCTGTTTCCTCTTCCTAGAATGTAGTGTTGACTCTGTTAAACATCCCTAACTCTTCTGTATGTGATCTCCTCCAAAGTAGCGTGGTATAATCAGATTGTAGGTTCAAATCATATTTCTCTTCATTATCAGCTATCTAACCTTGAGCAAGCAGCTTAACCTCTCTGTGCTTATTTTGTCATAAAAGTCTAACATGTAAGACTAAAAGCACTATCTATACCTCTTAGGGTTGTTGTGAGGATCCATGAGTCAATATATGCAAAGAGCTTAGAACAGGGCCTGGCACGTGGTATACAAGATAATGGTTAGCTATTAAATATCCTGCAATCCTCACTGGAAGAATCAAACCCTCCAGATTCCATCCTCATCCTCACATAGCATCTATTACATTATTATAACAACAATTACAATTTTTTTTTTTTTTTTTTTTTTTAATAACAACATTTTTAGCATCTTCCTCAGTGCTTTTTTTTTTTTGGAGATAGGGTCTCACTCTGTCGCCCAGGCTGGAATGTAGTGGCATCACAGCTCACTGCAACCTTGACCTCCTGGGCTCAAGAGATCCTCCTGCCTCAGCCTCCTGAGTAGCTGGGACTACAGGTGTCCGCCACCACACCTGGCTAACTTTTCCTTAATGTTTGTAAAGACAAGGTCTCACTATATTGCCCAGGCTGGTCTTGAACTCCTGGGCTCAGGCAATCCTCCTGCCTCGGCCTCCCAAAACGCTGAGATTATTTTGGCTCAAGCCATTGAGCCTGGCACAATATATTTTAACTGTGGTTTCCCCATCTATATCCTCCACAATATTGTGAGTAGATTATACTTTATGCACTGTTTTCTCCTAACTGCTGGGCAATAGCCATCGTATGTTCATTGAATTAATTAAACTTGGGTAAATTGTATTTCTGTTCAAGTATAAACTGATTTTTTTTTTTTCTTTTTGAGATGGAGTCTCGCTCTGTCGCCCAGGTTGAAGTGCAGTGGCACAATCTGGGCTCACTGCAAGCTCCGCCTCCTGAGTTCATGTCATTCTCCTGCCTCAGCCTCCTGAGTAGCTGGGACTACAGGCACCGGCCACCACGCCAGGCTAATTTTTTGTATTTTTAGTAGAGATGTGGTTTCACCATGTTAGCCAGGATGGTCTCGATCTCCTGACCTCGTGATCCGCCCGCCTCAGCCTCCCAAAGTCCTGGGATTACAGGCCAAGTATAAACTGATTTTTAAAAGAAAAATATTGATAACACTTTTAGATTTTAGACTATATAGAGCATAACTTCACACTATAGATAATCTTTAAGAGTACACTTTGAGACTCACAGTAGTAAAACTGACAGTTCCAAACTTAATTTTCTAATGCCTAGGGATCCTACAAAGAGGTAAGAACTCAAACTCAATATCACTCTTTCACACACATGCAAACAAAAGTGGTTTTCCTTTTTGCTTATGGTTACAGAGGGAATGAGAGAAGCAGTGAAGGGCATGGAAGCTTCAGGGCAGATTAGAAAGTAAACATGGGTAGGCCGGGTGCGGTGGCTCATGCCTGTAATCCCAGCACTTTGGGAGGCCGAGGTGGGTGGATCACCTGAGGTCAGGAGATTGAGACCATCCTGGCTAACACGGTGAAACCCCATCTCTACTAAAAATACAAAAAAGTCGCGCATGGTGGTGCACGCCTGTAGTCCCAGCTACTTGGGAGGCTGAGGCAGGAGAATCAATTGAACCCAGGAGGCAGAGGTTGCAGTGAGCTGAGATCGTGCCACTGCACTCCAGCCTGGGCAACAGAGTGAGACTCCATCTCAAAAAAAAAAAAAAAAAATAGTAAACATGAGTAAAGTAAAAGTCTAGCAAATAATCTACTCGGGTAACAAAGTCAAATACCTTCAAGGGTCACACAGCAAGTGAAGTGGGTAAGTCAAGGCTACCCATTTTGCAAATGAAAGAACATATGCCCCATGTAAGGACATTCTAGTCTAATATTGTTTAAAACATGATGCCTTTAAACCGAATATCTCTAGTGGAATTTGAACTGTGGACACAAGTTTGTGTCCTGTGTGTAAGAACTCAGTAAAAACTGCCAGGTCTCAGTAAAAGCTGCTGATTCACTCTGGACAACCTGGAGAGTGGTAGAAATAAGATGGCAAGAATAGGAGTAAAACTATGGAGAGAAACACTGACAGAGTACTAACAGAGCTGAGAGAACTCCAGCTTTTCAATCCCCAGGCTGGGATTTCCAACGTGAAAACTCATCTTTTAAAAATTACTGGCATTTATACCTCGGCACTGACAAATCCCACAAGTATAGTGCTGAGTGAAAAAATGGAAAGAAGACATACAAGAGAATGCCATTTATATAACATTCAAAAACACAATACTAGAGGCCAGGCACAGTGGCTCACACCTGAAATCCCAGCACTTTGGGAGGCCAAGGTGGGCAGACCGCTTGAGCCCAGGAGTTTAAGACCAGCCCACACAACATGGTGAAATCCCATCTCTACAAAAAATACAAAATTAGCCAGGCATGGTGGCATGCACCGGTGGTCCCAGCAACTTAGCAACCACTCAAGTGGGAGTGTCACTTGAGCCCAGGAGGTCGAGGCTGAAGTGAGCCCAGATCACGCCACTGCACTCCAGCCTGGCTGACAAAGTGAGACGCTGTCTCAAAAAACAAAAAACCTCCATAATACTAAACAATATATTGATAGGTTAGTTGTGGAAGGTGGGAGTAGAAGGTGTAACGTAGGATGTTCTTTCTAAAGTTGTATGGTATGTCAATGTTTATTCCTATATATAAGCACATGTATATGTGTTAATGTGTACATATTTTGTGTGTGTATGTGTATGTCTCTCTCTCTCTCTCTCTCTCTCTATATATATATTTTTTTTTTTTTTTAATTTTTTGTAGAGATGGGGTTTCACCATGTTGCTTGGGCTGGTCTTGAACTCCTGAGCTCAAGGGATCCACCCATCTTGGCCTCCCAAAGTGTTGGGCATGAGCCACCACATGTATATGTGTGTGTGTGTGTGTGTATACATATACACGTATATATACACATATATACACATGTATATATACACACACACAACATATACGCACTTGTGCACACAAAATATGTTGTCTTACTTGTATGAGACTTCATGATAAAGACGTATTATCTTAAAAAACCCATGATTTATACTTTTTCACATACGATTTTGATATTCCAGGAACATCTCAACCATTCGTTCTTCTTCCTTTAATTTCACAGACAGCTTTTCTGAAAGAGAAATTGAACTTTCAATTCAGCTGAAATGATGCTAAAAAATAAACTAGAACAGCAAAAACAGCATGATGCAAGTTAACATTAGGTACCTGCAAATGCTTTGATGGAGTCCTTGTAGGTATCTCTTAGTCCCGCCATCTGACAGGAGGTGTCCGTACTTTTGAATTTATTCCAAAATTCATTTATGCTTTTATCGAACAGTGCCAGTTCATCCTCTACCATTATGTAGGACAATGCTAAAAACAGAATACACATTGCATTTTTTAAGTTACTGAAATCAAATCAGCCACATATTCCAATCAGGTATACAGTATTTTGGCAATTTGTCCTTTGCTAGAAAATAGCAACTTATCTTTAATTCTAGGTATTCAAGGGTAGATCAAGCAACCTGGGCTTAACTGTTGTTAAGGTGCAGCAAGAATTCAGGATACCTTTACCTTCTAGCAGCTTGTTAGTAGGTGAGTGTAACTGCACAGGACACTTACACGCTCTATGACCCTGGGTCCATTTTCTCACAAGTAAAACCGTTGACTTCTAAATCACCTTTTCCAACTCTAACCCTTTCTGATCAGAGATCATCAGTATCGCCAGGTGGCCGGCACCCTCCCATAGAATAAGACCCCACACCTCTACCCTGTTTCTCTCCTCCACCTCAGAACAGTAAAAGTTAACAGTAAAATAGGGACTAAGGTGGGAATTGAGCGGGTTCTGCCCAGGATGTGTGCAAGTCACCTCGGGCCTCAGTATCCTCTGTAAAAGGAGGTCCTGGGAGAATCCCGGACCCGCCAGTACTCTGCGACGCTAAAACCTTCCCAGGAGGACCAAAGATATCCCTGCAGTGAAACCCAGAGCGCTTTGGGTTCGCAGCTGCCCACTCCACTAGGCTGTGAGGCCCAAACAGCAACAAGATGCGCATTTCACAAACGCCGCCGCAAATACACACATTCCGCCTCCAAACTCACTTTCCCCTATCGTAAAGGCGGGCCGAGGAGCCCAGCTCGGCGCCCACCTCCCTCACCTTCGCAGGCAGGCCTGAGTCCCTTCGCCTTCCCCACACCAGATCCGCGCCCACTCTAGCCAACAGCCGAGCTCCAGACTCAGCTCCCGCAGCCCCGCCAACTTTCCAATTTCAAACCTAGTGCACTTCCCGCCACCCGCCTCTAGGCGCACGTTCGCCTTCTGATTGGCCGATAGCACAGGTTCTTCATGACAGGATTGGTTGAACTCACCCTTGGATTCTCGCGGGGAAAATGGCGGAAAAGGGCATTCTGGGATTCGTAGTTCTTTTCTGAACAACAACCAGCGTCTCCACTGTGACCCGAAAGTATTAACAGCACCTGAAGAGCTCGCCCACAACAAGTCATTCATCGGCTTCAAATAAAGGTTTCTGGAACAAATATATATATTGACCTTTAATCGTATCTTTTGCAAGAAATACATCCTCTTCTTTGTATTCACCTTGTAAAGTTGACTTCAATTATGAGTGGGCAGGAACATTCAGGTGGTCCTCAGAATAGGTTTTTACTGCTTACAAAAATATTCCTTCTTTTCTACACCCCCAGCTTCTCTAACACTGTTTTTGAGGCCTAATAGAACACTATGTTACTATCTTGCAGAAGTGGAAGAAACTAGAGCACTATCAAAATCACCTGCTGTGTTCCTCGAGGACAGGAATGAGGCACAAGGTATTCAACTAGGATTTGCCAGAGTAGACAAGCTGCAGGGAGTCTGAGTTGTTCAGAAACTCTGAAAGGTGACATGGATTCGGTATTTGAATCCTTCTTGGTAAAGCTGAGGAAGAAAGAAACTAGGGAAAGAACCTAGAGAATACGCTTTCTGAAGAATGGAAAATAAAGCTGGCCAAAATAGTGAGGTCAAAGTTATTATTTTCATCTTAGACTATGGTATGTTTGTGAAAATAAAATCTGTTATTATACACCAAAAGATCATTACTATACTAGTTTCTTTTCATTTTCATCAACAATACAAACACCAACAAGAAATAAATATGTAAACAACATGCTCAGAGGACCAGATATTAGCCATTCTTTATCCAAGAACTAAATTAAGACCCGTGAAACCAGGACAAGTTATTATGAATATTTAACACTTCACAATATGCCCAAAAGTCACCTTGCAGCCTAGAGACTGCTATTAATACAGTTAGACATACAGTTTACTACGATAAATCTCCTTTCATTTCCAAGTATTTTCCCAAGAACTTCTGATTTTATATATCTGATACTATTTACCTTAAAGCAAAATTTTATGAATCGAGCCTCTCAGAACTTTAGCTGATTGAGTGCTGGTACTCATTTTTAGGGTTTCCACAGTACCACATTAGTGAAGACAGTACTTAAGAAGATTCATGGAAGGGGGCTGACTTGGTATCAAGTTGATGAATTCCTCACTAAGTTTTTACACTGGTCTTTATCAGACTGTTTAGTGAAGATTCTTGCTCTCTTTGGGTCTTCAGCTAAGAGGGGTGATTGCCCTACCAATGTGTGGTTATTAGGGCAGCCTCAGGGTGTCTATTGTTTTTTATTCTTTGAGTGCTCCTCCCCAGTCAGGATGTGAGGAAGAAGTTTCTTTGTCATTTGTCAAAATTTTCATTTCTGAAAGACTGGCTGAATAATTTCTCTCGTATCCCCAAGGATAGCTAGAGACAACCAGCTCTTCTTTCTGCTCAGTGCACAGAATAGGGCCTCCAGCTTTCTCAGCATTAAGAAGGGGAAAACAGACCCACCGACCCATTATTATTCACACAACTCCACCATCACCACCACCAACATATTACGTGACTTTCATTTCAACTCAACCAGAGTTTATTGAGTTTCTATTTTGTACCATGTACTGAGCTGAGCACTGCCTTCTCTGGGATATACAGTCTGTGACCCAGGGTTAGGTTTCTGCAGGGTGGGGAATAGAAAGACGCCAGATGTTCCCAGGCTGGAGGTGTTTCTAGATGGTGGTTATAGTCTTGCTCAGACTGAAAGCTCTATTGCTCCTCCCCTGAAAACTTAATTCTTTCTACGATGGGTGAAGGATAATGGGGTATAAGGATAAAAGATCATTGTCCTCTATTGCACATATGCTTGCTGGGTAGATACTTTGCATTTTCGGGGCAGAGCTAAGGATAGAAATGATCATGAGTAATGCCATGGTTGAGACTATAAGTTCCCCACCTTTAAGTATAAGTTTCTCTTTATGACATTCACATTTATGCTGACATTCACATTTACACTTTCAACATCCATTCACTGAGAAAATCAGAAATGACAAAAGTTACTATGAATTCAAAGGAGGAGTCTCTTCTTGCAGATTCCAGGTTGAGGACCTACAATATTGAAAATGAAAAGATTCTCGAACAGAAATTTTCAATCTTCTAGATTTCTGAATGGCCTATGTCAAACATTGCAATAGATGATTTAAGAAAGTAAGTTTTCTGACAATTGCTATAAAGTACAGTATCCAAAGTGGAGTCAATGCCAGGTTACACCTGGACTCTTTCATCTCCTTCCCCAAAATTAAAAAAATAAAATAAAATGAAGGAAGGAAGGGCTGGGACCTTGTATCAGTCTGTTCTCACATTGCTATAAAGAAATACCTGAGACTGGGTAATTTATAAGGAAAAGAGGTTTAATTGGCTCATGGTTCTGCAAGCTGTACAGGAAGAAGAGCAGCTCTGCTTCTAGGGAGGTTTCAGGAAGCTTCCAATCATGGCAGAAGGCGAATGGGGAGAAGGTACTTCATGTGCCAAAGGAGGAGCAAGAAAGATCAGGGGGAGGGGGAGGTGCCATACACTTTTAAATAACCAGATCTCATCAGAGCTCACTCACTGTTGCAAGGACAGTACCAAGAGGATGGTACTAAACCATTCATAAGAAATCCACCCTCATGATCCAATCACCTCCCACCACTATGCCGGAGGTCTGATATGGTTTGGATCTGTGTGGTAGAAGGAAGTCACCAAATTTTATCCCCCAAAAAGAAACTATAAAACTGGACCAAATTATCAAAAACAACCATTTAAGTGACCTGGAAATTGACTAACAGATTACAGCAAACTAAGAAGCATTTATTCATGAAAAACTATTCAAAAACATTATGCTAAGTGAAAGAAGCCAGGTGAAAAAGACTACATATACTATGATTTTATTTACATAAAATAACCGGAAAAGGCAGATTCCCAGACACAGAAAGCAGTTCAGTTTTTGCATGGGGCTGGGAGCAGACCCAGGCACTGACTGCCAAAGTGCATGAAGAAACTTTCTGGGGTACTGGAGATGTTCTGAAACTGGTTTGTGTCAATTACTGGCAACTCTATAAATATATTAAAAATCATGGAATTATACATTTAGAATGAGGAAGTTCATAGTATATAAATTGTAACTCAATAAAAGTGTTAAAATTAAAAATAAAAGATGAAGGATATCAGAGCTTTAGAAGAAAAAAAGACTACATCTCCCAAGCACTCAGAAAACATTCAATATAGTAAGAAAAATATCCAGGTTATTTTTATTATGGTAAGACACTCATAACATAAAATTTACCATCTTAACCAATTTTAAGTGTACAGTAAAGGGATGTTAAGTGTATTCACAGCGTTATGGCACCATCACCACTATTAATCTCCAGGACTCTTTTTATTAAAAACTTTGCCCATCAAATAACGAATCTGTCTTTCCTCCCCTCACACCCTGGCAACCACCATTCTACTTTCTGTCTCTATGAATCTGACTACTCTAGGTACAATTTTTAAATTGTCTCATAAATATCAAAAATGAGGATTTCTTTTACAGCTTTTAAATACATTCATCAATGAATGTTAATGTTTTTAGGTGTGATAATGGTATTATCTCATTTATATTCTTGAATATTTTTTCCCTTTCATCCTACAGTTTGCATTTCTAAATTCTACTCATATCTCAAGGCCCAGCCACTTGCCATTTCCACCACAAAAGCTCCCTAATCTCACAGACTGAAAGCTATGTCTGCCTTTCCTTTTTTCCATTTACCCTATCTGTTCACCTCTAAGGACACAATGGTATGTGACATATGTAAATATCATATTTTCCCTACTAGACCACAAGATTCTTGAGGTCTGATCTATCTCTGTCCTGTGTGGTACAGTGTCTTAGACTCTGTCAGTGTCGTAGACTCATGCTTCTCAAAAGTGAGAGGTTCTCCACCCAACAACATCATCATTATCTGGGAACTTAGAAATACAAAGTCTCAGACCCCACTCTATTCTTAGTGAATCAAAGATTCAGAGTCCCTGTAATCTGTGTTTTAACAAGCCCTTCAGGGGAATTGGATGAATATTAAAGTTTGAGAGTCACTGCTTTACACAATCTCTCTATACAGTACTCTTTAAGTCATCTATAAAAATGAACACAGCTATACAATATATTAACTACTTGGAAGAAAGTTAATAGTACTGCTCAATGGGCAACTCTGTTGGGTCCTTCGGTAATCCAAGAAAAAGTATATAGATGTATAGGTCATGATCATTTCTAGAGAAAAGTACATAAGGAGACTAATGGAGGGGGGTACTTAGAACAGCTGTAGCAGGGTCATTCATAATAGTGTCATTATGGAATGCCAATATTCCTGGGATGCTAGCCAGAATGAAGGTAATGATTTTCTGAAGGTCACTAGGGTCTAAATTCCATCTTAAATAAATACATTTTACATTGCAAGGTGACCCTGGAGAGATCTCAAATACAGTTTATTTTAGAGAAGGCAGATAAGTTTGTGGTAAAAGGATAATGACCATGCAGAGACATTAAAGGTCAATGCCTCCAATATATTTTTGTTTACTGCCACCTTATAAGTAACACAAGCTAAAGTCAAATATCTCTGAATGGTGTTGAATCGCCGTAAGCACTATAACTCAGCGATGAATGGTTCATTTTATGATAAGAAATATCTTGCTGTTATATAATATTTGATGTGGTGAAACATATTGGAGAAAGTCTATCCTCTGTCCCACTAAGTAATACAGGTAGGGATTTACTGTCAATCAAAATCTCAGAAAACTTTGAATGAATCAGAATGAGAACATTCTAGAAAGAACTGGAAGTATTCAACTACAGAGATGAACTAAAAAACAAGGCAGCAGAATAAGG